CATAATGTTTTTACTCATTAATCAACTAGCATGTATTTTAATGATGACGGTTATGCATGATCAATGCATTCCATTCTTATTCATCTTCTTATATCTTTTGACTGAATTCATGAGCTATCAAAATCATACAAGAATAAGTTGTGTGATTGGATTAGGCTCTCTTTCTAATTGTGAGGGGTTACTCGACCAAGATTCTCACTCCTTATTCTTAGATAATGGATTTTCCCTTCTTGAATTATTAGGGCATCATAGTTGACTAGCCACACTATCCCCTGTAGAAACCTGATGATACTAAGCATAATGCTTGACCCATGCCATCCTATAAGATAATGGCAATACTAAGCACATTTGATCAATAATAATGCCAACCACTGCGAGAAAACTCGATGGAGGCCATACCATATGGATTTCCATAACGCTCTTACTCATCCAAGTGAACTCCTACCCATCCGTGATCATGCAATTTGCTCATGTTATTTAATGACACATTATAATGAGAACTTGATTAATTTATTTCGTAATCAATCACATGCTATCAAGTCAAAGATACACATTCAATACTTAACTCTATGCCATAATCATATTCTCATATTTATTATCATACCAAGCATTCACTTAGACACATAACATAACTCAATGGTGAAATACAACCAATCATAATCACATAATTTTCAATCACACATATTGCATCTTAATCATGGAGTTCAATTAATCATAGTCACATAACTCACAACCATCGATACTAACATGATTGCATATTCATATAACCAAGATCATCTCAAGCAATTAACATTCAACTCATAATTACAAACACCAATTATCTACTAGAATTTAATTCTCAATTACCTCTACTCTTGGATTACTCTCCCAAGAGTACAATTTGATTCCCAAGAAGCTTACTAATAGTCCACGAGCACTAAGAACAGCTAATCTACAATTCATGATTAATAACAGCATTAATGACCATTAATTAGCCCCTTAATTCGATAAAGGCTTAAGATCCTAATTAGTGATATTAGCTATAAATAATTCCATTTCTAAATTTTATTTAACCTTTATTTAGCATAATGACACTATTAGCTAATCTCATTAGCATAAACTTAATTAATTAGTATTAGGGTTAACTTTAAATTCATCATTAACCACTTTAATCATTGTCATTAGCTTAAACTAACGATTATAAATGTAAAGAACCATCATTAGACTCCATTAAAGTTATATGAACAGTTGGAACTTGCCTGGACACTTGGACAACAACTCCTAACATAAGAACAACTAGAAGAAAAGTTTAATCTCATTAACTTAATTAATCAGTGTCACGATCATCTACAAAACTAGAATATTGAGTAAGGGCATCAACAATTAGTGAGATAGTATGGCTCACATGGCTTATGTGATAATTAAAGGTGCCACAAAACAAAGTAACACCATTATATTGTGACAACTAAGCAGCGTTACTTATAGCAGTGAATCCTATTTTTTACGAGAAAACCAAACATATTGAGATAGATTATTATTTCATATTATTTCGTAAGAGAAAGAGTGCAATTAAGTGAAGTGGAGCCATGAAAAAAAGGACAAAGAACCAATAAGCAGATATGCTTATGAAAGCACTTAGGAAAAATAGATTGAAGTATCTAGTAAGTAAGTTGGGCATTATGAATCTACATGCTCCAACTTGAGGGGGAATGTTGAAATTGATTGTAATTGAGCATTAATTGTAAATATTGCATAAACATAATTCTAGCAGTAACATTAGTTAGTATTAAACGGTATTTATTGTGTTTATTGCTTTAACGTGATTGTAGGGATGTAGATTCCTATTGTTTTGTATATACACACTTATAACTATGAGAAAGATGATTTTGCCTCACAAATTTCACAACTAATAATGTTAAATTATAGCTACCTCTCTCTCTCTCTCTATATATATATATATATATATAAATCAAGGATATGGGGTGGGTTTTTTCTCTTCTCATTTTTATTCTCTTTCTCTTTTTTGTTTATTAACATTTGGTATAGTATGCCAAACATAGATGATATGTGTTGAAGTGGAAGAAGCTGTTTTGGCAAAAGGAGAAAAAGGAGAATAACAATAAAGTCTCAAAACTAAATTTATGATAGCAAAGTCCTCAACAAATTTTTTTGAAAAAATAAGTTGCAAATATTGATTTAAACAATTGCAAACAAAAATTTCAATTGCAAATTGAGAGTTATATTTAAAATTAAAATTTTTTATTTGCAATTAGAACTTCTGAATTATGACTATGTAAATCAATATTTATAATTCATTTTTCAAAAAATTTTGTCAGAGGCTTAACTGTCATAAATTTATTATTTTGGAACTTTAATGTCATACATTCTTTATATAAAAAAATAAAAGAGGATGAGAGAGGAGTGCCTTTTTTGTTTTTGTAAGAAGAGGGAAAGCCTTGTTTGACTAATATTAGGGAGAATGACAATTACGTTCTAACGAAATCAATTAATTGAAATTAAATCTCAACTAATTTCAAAATGATAACTAAATTCCTTGGTCTTTCAGTAATAATAAGTCTAACAATTTTAGAAATTTGTAAGTTTGGTTTCCAATTTTGCAACTTTATTGTGATACATTTGTAACTTATTTTTAAATTTTAACAAAATAAATTTTAATAGAGAACACAAATGTTTATTTTTAATGTTTAAAGGTATGCACAGTATTAAGGAAGCAAGGTCTTTTGTAAATCCTCGAAGCTGTTAGATTTAATATTTTCAACATTAAAGATGAACATTTGTATTTCTTGTTAAAACTTGGAAAAAAATTTCAAATACATAACAACAAAATTACAAAATTGGAAGCCAAATTTGCAAATCTCTAAAGTTGTTTGATTGAATACTTTTCAATATTAAAGATGAACATTGGTGGTCCCTACTAAAATTTGGAAAAACATGTTATAAATGCATCATAACAAAGTTGTAAAACCGAACTTGTAAATTCTGAAATATTAGACTTACTATTTCTCACATTAAAGATGAACATTTGCGTTTTTTGTTAAAATTTGAAATATAAATTACAAATACATTATAATGAAATTACAGAATTTAGAGTCGAACTTACAAATCTCGATGACATACTTATTATCACTGAAAGACCAAAAAACTTTATTGACATTTTGAAATTAATTGAGACTTAATTTAAATTAATCGACCTGACTTAATCATTCTCCCTTAACATTAAGAATGTAGAGCTAGAATCTATATTGGCCCATTAACCCATGCGTAAAATCCATCTAATTGAACTTTTTTTTTTTTAATTCTCTTTGTCTCCGTGTTTTTTTCATAATTGTTGGTTTTTTAAGGACCAATTTTTTTTTGGCTACACTTGGTTGGGCCAACTTGTCAATAGAAGGAAAGCATCAAGCTTTTGTCCTGGAGATGAATGAGAAGAAACCACGATCCTTCACCTTTTTTATAATCATACTAAAAAATAAGACATTCTTAATTGCACCTTTAGAATGTGTTTGAAAGTTTGAGATTGCATAAAAAAGAACAATCATTAATGAAATGGAATAGAAGGGAGTGGAGTGAAATAGAATAATTTTTTTTTTTTTGAGAGTTTTATGATAGGAAAGAATGAATTTACATTACCATTAATTAAAAGTTATTACAAAATGAATGAAACGGAATGGTTAAAAACTTTTTTCTTTCAATATTATCCATATGATTAAATTTAAAAAAATAATTATGCCCATTAAATAATTACAATATTTATGCAACAAAAAATAACAATAATAATTGAAATTAATGGTCAAACAAGATACCCAAGAATTAAAAATAAAAAGAGCAAGCATGTAATAGAGCTTCTTAAGCAAATATTCCTATTGCACAAGATGAAAACACATCAAAGTTGTAATGTTGAAATGTGTGTGAGAGAGGGAGAGATATATATATATATATATGGTGGGAGATAAGGTTATGCATTATGCTTGAATCCCTGATCAACCCGGCCCTGCCTGAGGCATTTAGGCACATAGAGTTAGGCATTGGCAAGGGTCAAACCTTGTTTTGTCTGAGTATGTGCGAATTTTTTTTATTTTTTAAATTTTTTGGAAATAATATTTATCTTATAGAATTATTGTTTATTGAATGTTATCATGAATTATGTTATTTTTATTATCTTTTAGACATTTTTTTATCATTAAAATTTTTTAAATCTCTTTAAAAATTTAAAATTTTTTTTTAAAAAATACTTTTGATTCTAATATTAGTTTTATGAAGAATATGTTTTAAATAATAATAATAATATTTTTAAGGAAAATATATTTTTAAAAAAATACTTGTAAAAATATTTTCTGGTCAATTGGGCCAGCCTGGTATCCAACTGCACATTGGGCTAGGCACTGAGTAAGGGTCATGCTTAGCTCGATCCTGCCAATGTGCAACCCTAACAGGAAGCAAGAGAGATGGTTGAAAAATGAAAATAATAGAATAGATTTTTAATTAAGATAAGAGGTTGGGTAACTTTGTAAATGAAAATAATAGTAGGGCTTTAGAGACCTTTTTATGCCATTCCATTATTCTTTAAAAAAAACTCATAAATAACTTAGATCTTTTAGCCATCCCACTCCATTCCATTCTCCTTAAAAAATCTATCAAACATAGTGTTAAGAACAACTTAAAAATAAATTATAGCAATCAAAGTAAAGTTGCTACATATTTAATTCCTCTGTAGAAATTGAGTTAGCTGATAATCATACTAACAAATAATCTCTCAAACAGAGTATATACTGATTCATGACCCTTGTTTTTCACAGCTTCTTGATTAATATATATATATATATATAGCCCCTAATGATCTGTATAAACAGGGTGATACATTCAGGACTTTCAGAAAGCAAACAATTTTCCATGAAAAGCCTAAAAAGGATCTGAAGAATAAAAGAAGCAGCATATAAATTTTGATGAGTTTAGCATTGGCTTCTCATGAAACAGTAACTTATCTGCTCTCACTTCCACTATGAGGTTGGAAAATCGCCACAACATTTTATTCTCTCTCATGGCATGACAATACAGTATCAGGAAGCTCCTCACTCTGCTAATTCAAGTATACATCAAAACTCAATCTGAGATAAAATAAAAAAATAAAAATAAAGAAAGAAACAAACAAACAAAAGAAAAAAAGAACATTCTTAACTCTACTGGAGCTTCAAGTCACTGTAATATCAGTGCCTAATGTACAAGATGAAGTTACAACAGGATATAGACATTTCAAAAACTATCTTCAAAATCAATGAATCTACTCTATGGCCTCAAATCCACACGTCTTAAAACTATCAGATACCTTCACGCACTTCTACCAAATGATGCATTGACCAGTCACCTAATCAAATCCAGAAGTACAGCATTGCCTGTTCATAGATATTTTTTGATCATCATATTAATCAGAACAGATCAATTACAAACAAAGGCAACAACACCAGAGAATATGTATGTGTATGTGTTTGTGTCTTACCTCTTGAAGAGGATCCAAAAGCCCATCATCCTTAGGTGGAGATTTTCTTGCTTCTGAGCTTACAATCTCTTCCCTCATTGATATGACCTGGCTGAGTATTTCCTTCAAGAGCGTAAGCTGCTCTTCACCATCCCCTTCATGTGTAATCTCTTGCCTTGAGCTCATCACTCTCTCCCTCTCCTTCTCAAGCCTCTCGATTCTCTTCGAAAGAAGGTGAAACTCGGCTTCCCCGTTGCATTCCAAACTCGTTCCTTCCATTTTCTGGCCAAACATACAAGTGATCTTATTGTTATTATTATTACTACCACTATTTGGACTGTGTGCTTTTGTTTCCATGTTTGTGCTCAGAATTCTCATTAGCTTTCCTGAATCATATCTAGAGAATGCTTCAGACTTGTCCTCTGGCACTTCTGGGTCTGGTTTTGTTAATCTGTTATCTAAATCTGATCTCAACCTCTCAAGTCTATTTTCCCCATGTTTATTGACTCCATTATTCTCCCCACGACCAGGTTGTGGAACTTCAAACACATCATGAACATTTACTGAGCAAGAAGGATCTAGAATTACTTCCCTATTTTGCTGCTTAACTTCATGATGAACTTGATCTGAACTAATACTAGAGATTGTCTTACTCCTTGTTCTTGGAAATAATGAACATGATCTGTGTCTCCTAATTCTCAGGTTTGGAACCTTGTTTCCTTCTCTTTCCTTACAATCTGATATCTCTTTCACCTTCTCATCTAACTTTATAATCTGTTGCCAGTATGAATCAAGGGTTTCATGTGTAGATTCTACCGAGTTTTTGGCGAAATCCGTGCTTTGTTGAACAGCTTTTTTCTCAGTTTTCTCTTCCTCTATTGTTTGATTCATATCTGTATGATGATGTGGACTTGGTGATCTTTCTCTCTTCTTTGCAGCTCTCAAGCTGCTCTTATTTACAGGTAAAGGAGGCAATGAATGGAGTCTTCTGACAGATCCATTTTCTGAGTTCGTCCGAAGATGTTCATCAGTTCTTTGAAGCAACTGATTATTATTATTACTACTATTGTTCTCTTGAAGCTCAAAGTCATTGAGATTAGGATCACATCCAAGGTCATGAAGCTTTCTCTTACAAGCCTGAACTTGATTCTCCAGAGAAGAAATCTCCATGTCTTTCTGAAACATAAGCTCTTCGAAGATCTCAAGAGTTGTCTCTGCATGTTCCAGCTTCTCCTCCGCCATTCTCTCATACTGTCGAGCCTCCATCTTCACTGCTGCTTTCTCTCCTTGCAGACGCAGAATCATGTCAAGAGCTTCACTCGCTGCTGTTGCAGAAGCTTCTCTTTCCTCATCCAACTCTGCATATAGCTTCTGCAGAAGTTGTTGCTGAGCGCGAAGCGTCTCCTTCATCGCTATAATATCACTTTCCACCATTGTTCCACTGCTCAAGCTAGCAGCTTCTGCCATTCTCAGAATCTCACCAGCAGAAGCAATCTCTTATTTATAAAGCAATTTTGTTTCAGCAATCAATATTGAACAAAATCTACATCTGATACGATCAAAGAAGGAACAAGAGAGGTATGTATATCATTGAACGTACCTGCAGGGGAATCAAATTGTTCATGGAAATTACAGAGTACAGCTTAGGGCAGAGAAGAGAAGGAGAAGGTGATCTATCTATCTGGTGATCGCAAACGAGTACGACGGATTCATTAGGAAATAACAGAGCTTCTGGTTCAAGGAAAGGCAAAGCCTCTAGTGGTACGAATCGAATTGGAGAAGCAAAAGGAAAGGAAAGTGGAGATTGGTCCAAAAGAAAGGACGAGAAAAAGCGGAAGAAAATGATGGATTTAAGAAACAGCACAGGCTCATGCAATAGAAAAAGAAGGAATTGGAGAACCAAATTATAGCTTCCGGATTAGCATGTATTCATCAAAAGAGACAAATAAGGAAAGCCCCAGGGGAGAAAAATACAGAAAAAACAACGAAGGGCCAGAGTTCACTAAGAAATTAATTTTCATGGCGACGAAAGGAAAGGAGATTAAAAAGATCAAAACTTGAATAATGAATTTTGGTGGGGTTTTCGTTTTCTACAGAACGAAACCCAGACAAGATGATGATGATGCATAAACAACGTTGATGAGAAAGTGTGTTGTAGTTTTAGGATTCTTTTAGGATCTGCATTTTCTCAGCGGTGAATAATGATTTCCATGTAGGGCCCTTGTCATCTTTCCTTCTCCCTCAAGTGCTCCGAGCCCCTTCTTTTTTGTTCATGTTTTTTCTCGCCTTCTTTATTTTTGTTTTTTTTTTGTAATTAAATTTTTAGTTTTTAAAAGACCGTTGGTTGGTAGTGGCGTCGTTTCCAACGGCTATAACAAGCTCTGATCACGTCACGACCACCGACCACATCTAGAAATGAAGCTCCAAACCCTTGGAGTCAACCTCCAGCTCCATACATACGAAGAACCCTCCTCCATAAGATACGCGCCGTGACATTGAGAGATTGATTTTAAGCCCAATTCTTCTTTAGCTTTCGAGACTTTTTTTGTTTTCCTGTTTTTGGGATGAAAATGATACCAAAATTAGAAAGGACTACAACCTAATCAATGTTTTCACACAGTTTTTTTTATCATCCACTGCTTTGGAACAAAAAAGTAGAGGTTGATCAAAGATAACAAAATAAATTAAATTGGTGTTGGCCTCTCTGTACATAAAATTCAAACTAATATGCTAATCCTTATACAATAAGGATCTAGCTTGATTGATGATATCTTTAAAAGGATGATGAGGGAGTAATTAAATTGATTGTCTCAACAGAGTCTGTAAAAATTTAGTGTGCTTTTTATTTTTAATTTATTAAAAGTTCATTGGCTAAAAGTTCATTTGATGAAAGTCAATTTTACAAAAGTCAGTTATTATAATGAAATTTGTATTTAAATAATTTTTTTTAAAAGTTAATTTAACAAAGTGAAAGTTGTTTGAATTATGATAATGATTGAATAAAAATAGAAGAGTGAGAATTAGTTGATGACAAAATTATGCAAAGTACTTTCAAAAAACTATTCAAAGTTAAGTTTAAAAAATAAATTTTTGGAGTTTTTTGGATGTAGTTTTTAAATAGACTTTAAAAACAATTTAAAAAAACCAAACTACTTTTTTATTCTTGAATCTTCAAAAGTCCTTTTTGAATATAAAATAAAAAGTAAGTAAACCAAACAGGTCCTTAAACAGATTGTTATCCCAATATAGTTGAAGGTTGTAAATAATACGAAATATTTATTTTATTTATTTGAATACAAGGTCACAGAAAAACTATGTAAAGAGATTAAAGTCAAGTCACATTTAAAATCATAAGGTTAATACAATCGAGCAAACATTTATTCAATAGCAAGAGGATATTACCAATGTAAGCATTAAATTGTAATATACTATATATACAAATAGTTTCTAAAAACCGTAGTAGTTACATGACATGTACTTGGTTTTTCTCCCTTGCAGATTCTCCCCAGTACACCTTTATTGTAAATCTATAAACTGTTTAGATTGCTTAATGATATAGATTAAATTGTTTGTTTAAAAAACTATCAAATTTAAATCATTAAATCCAACTTGACAGTTTATATATTAAGGCTTACATAAATGCTATACATTACCAAATAAGCATCTTGAAATGTTCAAATTATATATACTTAAAGTCCCAAAGTCTTTTACCCCTCTATTGGGTGGAAGGGAATAGAGGGGAGGGGATATTTTAATAGATTTGATTTTTTAAAAACATGAATAAATGAGGTTATAAATTGAACTCATTAGAATCTTCTCTCCCCATCAAACCAAACTAACCATTAGGTTAAACAAGATAGGTTGCCAAGTTATCAAAAATTCCCTAGGATAGCATTTAGATTAATGAATTTGAATTTAGATTTTAGGTTTAAAATTTTATATTTAAAATTAATGTATATTTAAGATTTTTTTTGTTAGGACAGTAGAAAAATTTCAAAGAGAGAAAGAAAGGGAGAAATGAGGTTTGAAATAAAACCAAAGATCAGTGATGACAATCTTATATCTATTTTTAAATTCATGAAAGATAAAAATGAGAGATAAGAGAAAGGTGAGTGATAGAAACACCTATGATGAAAACAAAATAAATAGGAGTATTAAAGTGACTAAAATTTCAAATAAGTAGGCTACAAGGAGAATTTGAAATTGTAAATAAATTATATAATAAGAAATGGATTAATCTAAATCCATAGATTTTATATTTCCAAATAGGGAATTTAGCTTAAATTCAATTTTTCATTAATCCAAATACAAAATAATATAAAAAACAAAAATAAATATCCCCCTCTATTGGGAAATCCAATGAAGGATTTTTTTTTAAAAAAAAAATTAACTACTCTTTTGAATCTAATTCTCAATTCCTTAGTAGCAAGAAATTATTACATAAACCTAATGTATTTTGTCATTTATAGACTATTCAATAAAAATATAACATGTCACATAATTATACGTATAAATTAATTCTACTATTGTCTATTAATGATGATAGAGAGGGGGGAAGATAAGAAATTAAATAAATATACTATTCCAAAAATAAAATCGTTAGAGATAATAACATATAATATTTTATTTAATTAAAATGGTGCAATTTTATTAAATAGTTTACAAATAACATAGTTCATCGGGTCTATGTAATAGTTTGTTACTCCTCTTGTTTTAGCCCGTTCATTTCAAGAACTTGAATATTCTTAATTCCTTTTGTTATAATTACGATTTCTTTGGCTCTTTTATGAGTTATAATCATATCATTATTTGCTTTGTGTGTTTGAGTATTTCCTTATTTATTATGTAATTAGTATTTTGAGTTTAACTAATCATCACAAGATAAAAACTATTTAGAACTAACAATAAAAATACATCAAGTATAATTTCTTTTAGATATAATTTAATTTTGAATGCCATTTATACTAGTTTTCAAAACAATGCATCAGGAAAATGTTGTTGTTCTTATTATAACTACGTGGAAGTGTATAAACTTAATTAATGATACAAATGATTTGAAATTTTTATAAATACATAGATGTTAAAGATGTATTTGTTGTCCTCATATGCTCAAATATTTGAGATACTTAAGTGACATGAATAAAAACAAAACATATTATGTTTTGAATCTCATGATTTACCAGCCAATTTCCTTAGAAATTTGACATTTACTTTTAGAGTTAAAGGATAAAAATATTCATAAAATATTTTACAAGGAGCTATAGTTATTCTAAATTACATTATAGTACAATTACGTCCATAAGCCGTTAGTGCAAAATTTCTCAATACATAATAATAAAAATCAAATGTCTGTTAAGTAAAGGTTGTGGGTCTTGTAAGTTATGACAAATAAATAAATTATAATAATAATAACATATAAATTTTAAATCTAAAATTAAAATTGATATTCATCAATCCAAACATTATCTTTAAAGAATTCACTATCATTTTACTAACTTGTATAAAACTTTGTTAGATGAACGAGTACCTAACAAGTAATAAGAAGCTTCTGGCAAAAAAAAAAAACTAGTAATATGAAGTACAATTTTTCAAACTTCAAGAATTTACATTTACAAGTATACCGCTTGAGGTGGAAAATAGGAGATGGTACAATTCAATTGCTTGGGGCATATTATCAATAACAATGATTTAAATTGATCTTCAGAATATTTTTTAATAAAATATTAAACCAGAAACTAAGTCAAATTTGAGGTTGAGGGTTCACATTAATTTGCAGGGAAACTTAATGGTAGTGGAAAGAAGCTAGGCCGCTCATTCAGGATAAGGATAAGGATAAGAACTTTATTAAATAAAGGCTTTGATTACTTTAATTAATAACTGCCTCCGATTTTTATTACTCCTTTTATTTTATTTATCAAGCAAAAAGAGAAATTTTTGTATTATATTTATAAATCACATTAATAAATTTTTTTATCCTTAATTAAATGTTAAAAAAATATATTGTTAAAATATATATTTAATAGAAATAAAATTTATAATTTATTAAATTTTTAAATAAAGTTAAAAAGTTTTAAATTTTTCTTGATTCTTCCCGTGAACATGTTAAATGTTACTTATAAATATGATATAGGAGTATATTGTAATATGTCTCATATATTTAAATAAAATTATAAATTTCAAGAAATATTTATCAATTTTTTTAAATTGCTAATCATAAAGTCAATTTTAATTTCAAAAGACAAATTTGTTTCATTAATTATAGAAATGATTTAATCCAATTTTTTTATTCTAGATACAGTTATTATACTTAAAAGGAGCTTTTTAAATCTGAGCTATATTTAAAAGTGGAGTAACATATTAATATTTGCTCTCTCAACTCTTTATTATAAATTACTTTCAACTATCTCAATGGATAAGGAAGTTAGTTTATTAAGTCTATCTTAAAATAAAACGGGTGTTCCAACTTTGCCTCAGTTAAATAGGAAAAACTAGCACATTTAAATGGTCATATAAAAGTACTAAATTAAAATTAAATTATAATACATTTTAGTAATTTGCAACACGGTAAAATAGAAAAATTTTACTTAATAATCCTTCATGTAACTTATATTAAAGGTTAAAAAATTCTTTTAAAAGACACATTTAAAATAGGTGGTTGGATGAAGTATTTAATATATTAATATGATAATTTTTTTATTTTATTGCTTGGTTTCCTAAAAAATTTAGAGCATTATTGCTAGCTATTTACACCAATTTAAATATCATTATGTGAAATCATTATTATTTATAGTGGTTTCACGAATATCTCAAAGATGTGTTTGATATTTTTATTTGATGCAAGTATAAATTCAAAATTCAAGCGCAAGATTTTAAGAACTAAGATAAATTGATTCATGAAAAAATCCAACCAAGTCGCTACTTGATTATATTAATATATTAATAACCTAAGCCAAATTCGTGAAGGGTTCTTTGACAGTTTACCAATAGAGATAGGGACAGATTTGATGGAGTGGGACCTTTTGACATTTATTAATTATTTCTACAGGGTGTAAAGTCTTTATTGAGAACGTTCCAAATTCAATTAATGATTTTTCTTTTTTAAAGAAGTCTAATATATACGTATTATATTAAATAGTAAAGTAATGAACATGCATGCTGCTTTATTTGACTAATCATTTCATATCG